CCTGCCGAGCAGCCCCCGCGCCCCGGCCGCCCGGGGGCCCCCCGGCGCCCCGGCCTCGCCGCCCGCGCCGCCCTCCGCCATCCCCGACCTGCGGGGGGGACACTCAGAACCACGGGGGGCTTCCCCCCTCCAGGCACCCCCTGCCCCGGAAGGGGGCCTCCATGTACCCCCCACCCAATGGTGCTCACAGCCCCCACGTGCTCCTTGCCCCAGGGGTCCCCCCATGCAGCTCCCCACCTTCGCTGCTCGCCCTACCCTAGGTGTTCATGCCCCCAAACCACCCCTCCCCCAGGGATCCCCCCTTGTGTCCCCCATCCCACAGGGCTCCCGCTGCCCAGGTACCCCCACCCTAGGGTGCTCCCCCTCCCCATGCACCCCTTCCCCCAGGTTGCTCCTCCCCATGCAACCCACTCTAGGGTACTCACATCCCCCAGGAACCCCCCACCCTAGAGTGCACCCCCACACGCCCCTTTCGCTATGGAGCTCCCCCACCCCAGGGTGCCCCCCACCTTCTCCCTCTCACCCTAGGGTGCTCCCACCCCATGCATCCCTTACCCTAGTGTTCCCACCCTGCACCCCCACCCCAGGGTGCTCCCCCTCCCCATGCACCCACCCACCCCAGGGTCCTTACGCACCCTTCCTCTATGGAGCTCCCCCCCATGCACCCCAAGGTGATCACACCCCCAAAACGCCCCCACCTTAGGGTGCCCCCCCCATGCGGCCCCCCCCCCCATGCCCCCCTCCCGCCGCCCCCCCCGCACCGCGCGCCCCGACCCCTTTACCCAGCCCGGGCACGCCCGGCGCGCGGCCCCTACTGCGCGTGCGTGCCTTGCGGCGTGGGACTTCCGGGGGACGCCGCTGCTGCCATGCTTCTTTCGGGCGGGCCGAAGCAGCGCCTGGGCGGGGCCGCCATCTTTGAGAAGGGCAGCTCCCGGCCCCCATGCGGATGGCGGCGGCGCCATCTTTGTGCCGGGCAGTGCCCGGTCCGCGCCACCGGGCGGTGCGGGGGCAGCGTCACCCCGCAATGTCCCATTGTCCACCCCGCCCCCGGGGCAGTGCGGACCTCGGCGACCTGCCAAGCCCCTGCTGTGCTCCGTGCCCATGGCACGAGCGGCTCTGAGTCCCAGCTGCGCGCTCAGGGGGCGTGAGTCCATGTGTGCATGCACATGTGCACACACGTGTGCACAAGCATGTATGTATGTGCGTGCACATGGACACACGTATGTGCATGCATGTACAAGCACATGTATGCACATACGTGTGGATGGGTGAATGCACACGTGCATATATCCATGCCTAGGCACAGGGTGCAAACCAGTCAGGCTGCATTGCTGCCCAATGTGCATGCACTGTATGCACGCATGTGCAATCACATATGCATATAGGCGCACACCACATGCATGGATGAGCATGCACATGCACATACATTTGTCTGCATGCACACGTGTGTGCGGGCACACCAATGCATGTGCGTGTGCATACACATATGCACGTATATGCATGTACATATGTGTATGTACGGGGCCACGTGTGCAAGCCCAGGTGCCCTACATGTCCGTGTGCACGCACACATGCACACACGTGTACATCCATGTGCACGCACCTGCAGGCCCACAAGCGCGGGGCCCGGGGGCGCGGCGGCCGGTGCAGCCACCCCGCTCCCTGCAGGACGGGCCGGCCGCGGCCCCGCCGGGCTGCTGGCCACCGGGCTCGTCCCTTCTCCCCGCCCCGGCGCTGGCGGCCGCCCCCGCGGCCTCGCCCCCCGCTCCGCGGCCGTCCCCGTCCCCGCGGCGCTCGCGGGCGGCGACGCTGCGCTCAGCCCCTGACGCGCTGCCGCCCGGCACCCATTGGCAGAGCCGCCCCCCCGCGCCCCCATGCCGCGCTGAGCGCCTTCTCCCGCTTCTTCCCCTCCTCCTTAGGGTGCTCGCCGCTCCCGCGCCGCCTGCGAGGACGCGCGGCAGCCGCAGCCGCAGCCGGGGCAGCAGCTCGAGCAGCCGCCCGGTCGCGCCGCGCTCCGTCGCAGCCCCCGGGACGCGCCACTCTCCATCGCAGCCCCCGGGACGCTCCGCGCTCTGTGACAGCCCCCGGGACGCTCCGCGCTCCGTCGCAGCCCCCGCGGCCCAGCGCGCACCTGCCGCTCCCCGAGCGCGCCAGGTAAGGCCGCCCGCGCCCCCCGGCCCCCCGCGCCCGCCGCGGCACAGAGCCGGGGGCACCGGCACCGCGGGGCTTCATCGAGGGGGAGGGCGCGTGGGGAGGAGGGGGACGGCGCGTGGGAACGGCCAGCCGCCCGCACAGGGGGACGCGGCGGCTGCCGGGGCGCTCTGCGGGGCTGTCACCCGCTGTCTGCGCTCGCCGTCCCCAGGGAATGACCTTCCCGGCTGCGCGCGCCGGGCGCTGCAAGGCTGCGGGGGACGGCGCGCGCTCGGCTGCGCCTGCCGGCCGTGCCCGCTGCGGGGAGCGTGTGCGGGCGGCGTGGGCGCCTGCGTGGGGGGGGCGTGGGTGCCCGCGTGGGCGATGCTGCGGGGGCTGGGGGCGCACACAGCGGGAGCTTGCAATGCCACCCAGTACAGCGGGGCCGTGCGCGTGCGCCCTGTGCGCGTGGGTGCTTTGCACCCGGGGGAGCTTCCACACGCACCGGGCAGCGGTGGGTGCCGCTCTGCCCTGTTTTGTGCCCCCTGCGAGCGTCCCCAAGCTCGCAAGCACCGGTGCGGGGGCAGCTGGTGTCGGTGCCCCCCCCACGCGTGCGGGGGAGCTGCAGCGAGTCATGACTAAGTTGGCGCGAGCTCGTGGGGCGGCGCGCGCCCACCGCTGCTAAAACGGGCTGCGCGAGCGCCAGGGCGCGCGGGGGCAGCGCTGCAGCGCGGGGCCCCCCCGAGGCGCCCGGCCCCACCGGTGCCCAGCCCTGCGCAGGGGCTCCCACGCAGGTTGGGACCTGCGCAGGCACCGTGCGCTTGGCACCTGCAGGCACAAGAGGTGACACCTTGGTGGCACGGGAGATGACACCGAGGGCTCCCTGGGCGCGACGCTCGGGGCACTGGATGCACCCGCTCGCCCACGCGCCATGGCCAGGGAACTGAGCCGCGCGCGGGCCGGGGCGCGCGGGGAGGGACACGGCGGCGCCGGGGGCGGCGGGCGATCGTCCCCTCTCTGCGGGCGCTCCTGCCGCTCCCCTTGTTTTTCTCTCCCCACCCGGCGTTGAGCAAGCGGGGACAGGAGCGCCCGCTGGCACCGCGCCGGGCCCCGCGGCGTCCCGGGGAGCGGCCGCGCGAGCCGCTCCGCGCGGCACCGACCCGCTCGCTCCGGCGCCGCCCCCGCGCGCGCTTCCCGCCGCTGGCTCGCGGCCCCTTCGCCGCCCCGGTGCCATCTGCTCGGCGGCGGGCACGCGCTCAGCCCTGCGCCCCGCAGCCGCCGCCGCCGGCCATGGAGCTGCTCTCCACCCCCAAGAACATCGAGATCAACAACATCACCTGCGACTCCTTCCGCATCTCCTGGGCCGTGGACAAGAGCGACCTGGAGCGCGTCACCCACTACTTCATCGACCTCAACAAGAAGGAGAACAAGAACTCCAACAAGTTCAAGCACCGGGTGGGTGAGGGCGTGCGGACGGGGTGGCCGCGGCGGGGCACGAGGCCGGCGCGGTGCCCTCGGCGGGCGGGGGCCGGGGGCTGCCGGCAGCGTGGTTGCCACGGTGACGCTCGCTCAGTTTTATCGCTATTTTTTCCCGTCCCCTCTCTTTTCGCGTGTTTTCCTCCCTCCTCGTGTCTCCCGGCTCGCGCATCCGCGTTGCCACAGAAACAGCTCCGGAGCGCGCGGCGCCTCCCGGCCGCCCGCTCGGTGACGCGGGAGCCCCCGGGCGCCCGGGGCGGCCCCATCGCCGCGCGCGGTGACACTGCGGTGCCGTCCCCCCGCAGGACGTGCCCACCAAGCTGGTGGCCAAGGCGGTGCCGCTGCCCATGACCGTGCGGGGCCACTGGTTCCTGAGCCCGCGCACCGAGTACAGCGTGGCCGTGCAGACAGCCGTGAAGCAGAGCGATGGCGAGTACCTCGTGTCCGGCTGGAGCGAGACCGTCGAGTTCTGCACCGGCGGTGAGCGCCACGGGGACAGGGCCCGCGACAGGGCCGGGGGTGGAACCGAGCGCTGCTGCAAGCCGGCACAGCCAGGAGTGGGCTGGGAATGCGTGGGGAAGGGCCGGGCGTCGTGGGGACACTGTGGGCAGCATGTAGGGGCTCCGGGAATGTCATGAGGCTGCTGTCTTGGTGCCCCCACCCTAGATTACGCCAAGGAGCATCTGTCGCAGCTGCAGGAGAAGGCCGAGCTCATTGCCGGCCGCATGCTGCGCTTCTCCGTCTTCTACCGCAACCAGCACAAGGAGTATTTCCAGCATGTCAGGTACTGCGGCGCGGGCGGCGGGGACGGGCACAGCGCCGTCCCCTGCGCCCGCCCGCCGCCCACGCCGCCCGTCCCCCTCAGGATGCACTGCGGGAACGTGATGAAGCCGTCGCTGAAGGACAACAGCGGCAGCCACGGCTCGCCCACGAGCGGCATGCTGCACGGCATCTTCTTCAGCTGCAACACCGAGTTCAACACCGGGCAGCCGCCGCAGGACTCGCCCTACGGCCGCTACCGCTTCCAGATCCCGGCGCAGCGCCTCTTCAACCCCAACACCAACCTCTACTTCGCGGACTTCTACTGCATGTACACCGCCTACCACTACGTGGTCCTGGTGCTGGCGCCCAAGGGCTCTGCGGGCGACCACTTCTGCCGCGAGCGCCTGCCGCAGCTGGACATTGCGTGCAACAAGTTCCTGACGTGCTGCGCCGAGGACGGCGAGCTCGTGTACCACCACGCGCAGGACAGCATCCTCGAGGTCATCTACACCGAGCCCGTGGACCTGAGCCTCGGCGTGCTGGGCGAGATCAGCGGCCACCAGCTCATGAGCCTCTCCACGGCCAACGCCAAAAAGGACCCGAGCTGCAAGACGTGCAACATCAGCGTGGGCCGCTAGGCGCCCGCGGCGCTGGGGGGCCGGCCCGCGGAGCCCCCCGCCCGCGGACAGAGCCCGAGGGGTGCGGGAGCCATCCCGTGTAAATAGCGGCGTCGCCTGGATCCGCTGCCTGCTCCGGCTGGGATGCTCGGGGCAGGGACACTGAACTGGCAGCGCTCCATGACCCCGGAGCTGAAGCGGCGTCTCCCGGATCAAGCAGCGCCTCGTCCCTGCGCTGGCCCCCCGCTGCCCCGTGCATCGTCCCCCTCCGTCCTGCTCCAGGGCTCGCCGACCGCCCACGCACCCCACGTCCAAGCTCCGCTCTGGGAAAAACCATCCGGCCCCAAAACGATGCCCCTCACGTCTGCCCCTCTGCCTCGTCCCCAGGGAGGACGGCAGGCGCATCGCAGAGGCGCCGGGTGCCACCAAACTGCCTGCGGGCCCAGAAAGAAGCACAAGGGACTGCGGAGCCGCTGTCCCCACTGTCCCCCGCCCTGGCAGGACTGGATGCCTGGACTTGGACCCCAGGCAACTCCCACGGGGCCCATCCGTGCCGTGTGCCCACCGCGCGCTCCAGCCGTCGCTGTCACCGAGCCGCGAGCTTGCCGCTTGCCAGCCCCGCGCGCCCCCCGGGATGCAGCGCGGTGCCCCCCGCATGAGCGCGCGGGACTGCAGCATGGCCCCCCGGGCGCCGCGTCCCCTGCACGCTGCTCCGCTGCGTCCCGCGCCACCCCCCGTGCTGTGCTGCCGTGTGACAATAAACTGTGTGCCGTGGCCGCGGGGCTCCCGCGCTGCTCCTTGTCCTGCGCCCCGGTGCCGCGCGGAGGGGACACGGCCCGGGGCTGGGTGGTGCCTGAGGGGAGAGCTGCTCTCCAGGGGGTCCCTGCCACCCGCGGGCCTCCGTTATCCCACAGGGAATATTAGCGGGATGCACAGGGAAAGGAGAGATCAGCTGGTGCCTGGGGACACACAGGGGACAGCAGCAGGGAGCAGATCCACGCTCGCTTCCCACGCACTCGCGGGCACCCGTGGGCACACTCCCCCACCCGGCGTCCCCAAAACCCGCCCGAGGCACCCGGCAGTGCTGCCAGCAGCCGGGAGAGGGGGCCCGGCAGCGCCGCCACGAGCGGCTCCTTGCTCGGCTCCTCCGGCCGCTCTGCGGTGGACGCGGGGACGCCGGCGCTCTGGGCGCACATCCCGCGCGCATCCCGCTCCCGGGAGCCACGGCGGCCGCGGCGCTCACCCCGGCGGGGCACACACGGGATGCAGAGCAGCGTGTGGCCGCCGTGGCTACACTTTGATTGCATTTTGCAGAGAGTTCTCGAGGGCCAGTAGCCAGCCCTGCAGGCTGTGCCACCAGCCGGCCACTCGCGCGCCCCGCTGCTCATCTTCCAGCCGGCCGCCCTTCTGCTCCACACCGACGCCTTTCCGGCTGCCGGGCACCTTCGGCACGTGCCCATCTGCCAGCGGCACCGCGGGGCTCCCGCCGGCCCCGGCCAGGCACAGCGTGAGCGGCACCTCGAGCAGCAGGGTGAGGGGGATGGCGGGCGGCCAAGCCTTGCACCGTGCAGCCTTCCTCATCCTCCTCTTCCCACCGCGCGCTCCGGGCCGGCTCGTCCTGCTGGCAGCGCCGCGGTGCCGGCGGGGAGCTGCGCGCTGCCCTCGGCGCCA